CTTTGGGAGGCTGAGGTGAGTGGATTGCCTGAGCCCGTGGGTTCGAGACCCGCCTGGGTAACTTGGTGAGACCTCATCTCTACAATAAATCAAAAATTAGCCGGGTGTGGTAACGCACACCTGTAGTTCCAGCTACTTGGAAGGCTGTAGTTCCAGCTACTTGGAAGGCTGAAGAACCCAGCAGGTCGAGGCTGCGGTGGCCGGAAGCGGCCACTGCACTTCAATCTGGGCGATGGAGTGAGACTCTAACTCAAAAAAAAAAAAAAAAAAAAGAAAACATTATGCTGGAGGGGGAGGGAAATGGGATTAATGGTAGTAAATATCTGTCTGGGGACGGGGAGACACCTCTTATCAACAAGGGTGCCTGAATGAAGCATATTTGTATACCTAACCCTGTACCCCATGATATCATAATAAAAAATATTGATTATAAAAATAAATAAATAAATAAACATTATGCCAAGTGAAAGAAGTCAGACATAGTAAACTATATATTATATGATTCCATTAACATAAAATATCCAGAAAATATACACAAAGTAGATTACTGCTTGTCTGGAAAGGAGTGGAGGAGAGGGAAAATGGACTAATTATTATTGGACATGAGGGGATCTTATTGGGGTGATGGAAATGTTCTCAAGCCACTTTATAGTAATGATGCATAACTTGGTAAGTTTGCTGAAAAATTGTTGTACACTTGGGAATAAGTATATGTGTGATATGTAAAAACATATCATAATAAAGTTATATTAAAAAATAGACAGGCAGCAGGCTGGATTTGGCCCTCAGACCAAAAAATGAAATATGACTTAATAGGCAATGAAGTGCCCTTCTAGCTCTGGAAGATTTTGTTCAAGTTGAAGAGCATGAGCAAAATAAATTCAATATTGATTTCTCAAAAAACAAAAGCAACTAAAATGGCATACCATTTTTCAGTCATTTTTGTGACAGACAAATAAAACATACTGTAACAGCGAGCACATGGGGAAATGGGTCCTCTCCTACCTTGCTGGAGGACATGTAAATACAACACATAGAAGGAAGTTTAATAGTATTACACATGTACATACCCCTGATCCAGCACTTCAGCTTTAAGGAATTTAAACTGCAGATATACACCACCTGCAAAATGATATGTACACTTATTTATTCATGGCAACAATGTTAGTAATAGCAAAAGTTTGGATTTTCATCGGCAGTGGAATAGTCAAATAGGTTACAATACATCTTTAAAAAATAAATCAGGAAGCTATTTATGTCCTGCAAAGGAAAGATGATCAAGATATATTATCAGGTGAAAAATACAAAGCAAGCCTAGTGTGTATAATATACTAACATTTGTATAAAATGACAAATTTATATTTATAATATGTATTTGTGCATATACATGTGTAAATGTATATGCACTTTGAAAGATTTTGCTATAGCTGAAGAGTGTGGGCAAAATTAATTTAGCACTGGTTTTAAAAAGAGGCAACTCTGCCGGGCACAGCGTCTCACACCTATAATCCCAGCACTTTAGGAGGCCAAGGTGAGAGGATTGCCTGAACCCGCAGGTTAGAATCTAGCCTGGGCAACTTGGCAAGACCTCATCTCTACAATAAATTTAAAAATTAGCTGGGCACAGTGGTGTGTGCCTGTAGTTCTAGCTACTTGGAAAGCTAAGGTGGAAGGACCGCCTGAGCCCAGCAGGTCAAGGCTGCGGTGGCTGTGAGTGTGCCATTGCACTTCTGCTCGGGTGACAGAGTGACACTCCAACTCAAAAAATAAAAATAAAAAAAGAGGCAACTTCAATGACATATCATTTTTCCCCTACATAACTGACAAACATAACACAACACTGTCAGTGTGCTTTATATGTATATGTATATATATATATATACATAGTATGTGTATATGCACATATATTTACACATTTCTAAAAATGTCTTTGAAAACACATCCAAAGTATTTGGGTTGACTTTAGAAAGTGTGTTATGATCAGCCAGTCATGCACTGTGAGTTACCATGTCCTCCAGTAGCCCACCATGCAACTTTCTGCAGCTTTACCACCAAGAACCCCTCAGTGTTCACTGCCATGAATTCCCATGGTATGTTCTGCAGAGGACCCTGTAGCTTTCAGTGCTGAAGAAACCAACCGCCTGCCCAGAGCAGTGGATCCCCTGGAGCATTTGCCACTGAGAACACAGCATTTCTTTTCACTTTCACAATCTCCATGTGCCTGAGTCACCTCCTCCTCCTTCCCCTCTCCCTGGAGCCACCCAGAGCCACATAACTGCTCCTGCCCCAGTGGCCCCATCCTAGGGACCCATCCTGGTGACCTTCGTGTTCTGCAGGTACCTAAGCCATCACCCCTCTTCGTTGGAGCCTCCTCAGCTACTGCCTCCATGGGTGCTCTGGCCCAGGTGTCCAGAGCAGCTACTGCATGCATGCCTGCAAGCAGCCCTGACCCCGCCCCCCCAAAACCACCACCACAGACTCCATTGCCATCACTGCATGCATCTGACGCTGACCCCTGTAGCCAGGTTACCGTGTGCTGCCAGCCTGGCCTCTGCAGCTGAGCAAGCATAACCAGCTGGCCCTGCTCTCCAACTCCTGCCTCTAGCACCATGCTAGCACTACATTTAGCCCCTGAAGCTGCATGTGCACATACGCCACCAACTCAGCTCACAGCTGCTCATGCACACAGATGACCTGACCTCTATAGCTGGCCTGCAGCTGTCCCCTTTAGTCATGCATGTGCAAGCTGCTGGCCCCTACCACCACATGTGCACCTGCAGCCAGCCCCAGTCTCTGTCTCTAAATATAGCCCTCACCAACATGCTGAAGCCTGCAGCGGGCTTCTGATGCCACCCATGGGGTTGCAGCCAGCCTCCACAGCTGCATGCTACTGGATCTGACTTCCACTGCTTCCAGGCTTGAGCTCTGAGCCACTGGATCCAGAGACACAGCTGTGCCCTGGTAGCCCTCACAGTCACTACAGTCACCCTACACAGCTTTTTCCACCAAGGACTACACAGGTGCCAACAACAACACAGACACCAGCTTCCTGAGCTGACAAGACTCAAGATACCCCTTGGAGCCATCATATGCCCCACATTTGATGCCTCACACCATTAGACCTGGTGCCACCGAGTCCCCAGCAGGCCTCCATCCTCCACCCCACTCCTCACAGGTGAAGGTTTTTTCTATCAAAGCCAGTCCATAAAGTCTGGAAGAGTTGACTACTTATAATGTGTGGATACATTTACAATACTACAAGGATCACAAAGAATCAGGGAAACATGGCACCACCAAAGGAGCACAGTAAATTTTCAGTAGCTGATGCCAAAAATTGAAGATCCATGATTAAAAATAATTCAGAATAATTATTCATGATCCATTATTCATAATAATTATTCTAAAGAAGCTCAGCAGATTACAAGATAACACAAATAAGCTATTTAATAAAATTAGGAAAACAATAACAGAACAAAATGAAAAGCTAAACAAAGAAATAGAAAGCACAATGGTGAGCCGGGCTCAGTGGCTCAGTCTGTAATCCCGCGCCTTGGGAGGCTGAGGTGAGTGGATTGCCTGAGCTCGTGGGTTCGAGACCCATCTGGGAAACTTGGTGAGAACTCATCTCTACAATAAATCAAAAAAAATTAGCCGGGTGTGGTAGCACGCACCTGTAGTTCCAGCTTCTTGGAAGGCTGAGGCAGAAGAATTGCCGGAGCCCAGCAGGTCGAGGCTGCGTTGGCAGGAGCAGCCACTGCACTCCAGTCTGGGCAACAGAGTGAGACTCCAATGCAAAAACAAACAAACAAACAAACAACTCCAATGCAAAAACAAACAAACAAACAAAACACAATGGTGAACCAAATAGAAAGTCTGATGTTGTAGAATACAATAACTGAATTAAAATGTAATAAACCTTCAACAGCAGATTGGATCAAGCAGAAGAAAGAATAAGCAAACTTGAAGTCAAATCATTTGAAATCATCCAGAAAATATGAAAAGGAATGAAGAAAGCCTATGAGATCTATGGGATGCCACCAACAGAGCTAACTTTTGCATAATAGGAGTTAAGAAGAAGAAAAGAAAGAGAATGGGACAGAAAGCTTACTTAAAGAAATAATGACTGAAAATTTCCCAAATCTGAGGAAAGGTTTAGACATCCAGGTACAGGAAACTCAATGGTTTCCAATCAAATTCAACCCAAAGAAGAGCACTCCAAGACACATTACAATCAAACTATCAAAAATCAAAGACAATGAAAGAAATCTGAAAGCAACAAGAGAAAGAAGGTCCAATACAGCTATCAGCAGATTTCTCAGCAGAAACCTTGCAGGCCAGCAGAGAGTACATGACATATTCAATGTGCTGAAAGAAAAACACTGGTACCCAAGAATATTTTACTGGCAAAGCTGTCCTTCAGAACTGGGGAAGAAGTGTGTACTTTCTCAGACAAGCAAAAAAGTTGAGGGAGCTCGTCACCACTAGACCTGCCTTACAGAAAATGCTGAAGGGAGTTCTTCAAGCTGAAACAAAAAAACTGCTCATTAATACCATGAAACATACAAAAGTATAAAACTTACTGGTAAAGGTTAAAAAAAACTAAACTAAAAATAGAACTGTATGATCCAGCAATCCCTTCTGCAGGTATATCCAAAGGATACGAAATCAGTACATCAAAGAGATGTCTGCACTCCCATCAGTGCAAAAGCCAGAACAGGTAGGAATTAGGGTGAGAACTAGGCTCAGTAAGGTCCAACCTCTCTCTCCATCTGCCCCTTAATATCTGAGTACTGCTTCCATCTGATGAATTCCACTAAAGGTAGATGGCAGGTGGGAAGCCCCACCATGCCCCCAGAAGGGATCAGCCTCCAGGATCCAGGTCAGGGCAGAGATCTGATACTGACCATTACAAATACTTCCTTCCAGACAGGAAAGATAGTCCTTCTCTTGAAGGGGGGGTGGTCTATAAAAAGGCTATGATTATTTTTGGTTTTTTCCAGGTTATTGATGATATCATTGCAAGTCAAGAAGAGGAGGAAAAAAACGAAAAGAAGAAAGAAAAGAAAAAGGAAAAAAAACCCAAGATAGCCAAAAAAGGAAAAAAAGGAACAAAGGGAAAATATAAGGTAAAAAAATCTATACGGAATTTTTTTGTCTTAACTTTTTAGTGATCTTTTTGCTTTGACTCAATGGTATATTTTCAAATCTTTCAACGTTACCATCATTCATTTCCTAGAGAAATCATTCTATACCAGCAGTTCTTGTATTTTATTTATATTGATCAAACAATTCATTGCCACCTTTTCTATGACTTATAAATATCTATTAGGATAAATAGTGGTTTCAGCAGCTCATATGTGATAGCTTTGAATTTTTATTACTTAAAATAAATTATCCCACCTGCCTTTCCTTCAGGCAGAGAAAAGGAAAAAAATGCTTGACAGACCAAATAACTGCTGCAAAGTCAAAATAATCATATCTAACTTAACCAAATCATGTTCATTCAAATTTATAATTTAGCATTGACATCTTAGGTGTGTTTTAACAGAATTATTCATTTTCAAAGGAAATCAGAGTTCACACAGTGTTACTTTGAACCACGTCTTCCCTCGTATGGTGGGGTTGGGAATATAGGTGGAGTGGACTTACTCATAAGTGGAGAGTCTTCATCCTGTGAGACTAGTGTACTCTCAGGGTTGTTGTATGTTCTCAGCATAAACTCTTTGCATGGAAATTGGAACTTGAAGATGGCATAATCCTAAAACATGACTATGACTATGTTTGCAGTAGAGTTTGCTGCATTCAGATACTGTTTCACTGACCCAAATCTAATCTGAATCAAATCTGAATCTGAAGAGTGGATCATTAAAGATTGTGATTCTACAGTGACTCTAATGTGATTCAACTCTTCAGAGTAGATCCCTAAGTGTCATAGTGCCACTGTGACTGTAATCTGAATCAGCTCTCTGGAATGTATCCCAAAAGATTATGGTTCCACTGTGACTCTAATCTGATTCAGCTCTCCAGAGTGTATCCCTAAAGGTTATGATCCACTGTGACTCTGTTTGGAGAAAGAAACCCAGCTATCTCTCAGGTAGATATCCATAGCCATGCTTCTCACATTCCAAGACATGTTTCGACCAACACTCAGACTTATGAACTTGTCTGTAGGAGAGGCAACTCTGTGGGTCTGACAGACTGTGTCTAGGAACTCTGGTGCCATGTTACAATGAGATAGAAATGGGACAGGCTATGCAGTCAGGTAGGACAAGCTACTTGAGTCAGAAATTGTGCACAAGGGAGAAAGGATGATGGTGAATATAATACAACACCCAAAGTCACATAAATGCAAGGTGTAGGAGATGGTGGTAAAAGCCAACATTTTGTTGAAAACTCTTTGGCATGCTTGAGCCTGGCCAACTGGAAGCGATCATTCCTTTTACATCACTCCTGGAGAAAAGGTGTGTGAGTTTTCTTTATGTTTTCAAATAGTCCTTTTTTACTAAAAAATAAAATTTAAAAAACACTACTTATAGAAAGGTCATATTTGGCTACATGGGAGAAGGGCCAACAGAAGCACTGCAGATTCAGAAGATACTGATTATCTGTCAGCACTGGAGGTAATGGGCGGATTCATGGAGAATATGGAATGTTAATTAGGAGACCCTTTCAAGAATCTACACTCAACCCAAGTCTGCCCACATCTCTCCTTTGCCATGGTTACCACCTGATTACAAGGCATCATTGCCTCTCAGGGAGACAACTACAACAGCCTCCCAGCCAATGTCTCCACCTCCTCTCCTGCCATCCTATAGTCTGTTTCCCAGCAGTAGCCAGAATGACCCTAAACTCTGAGCAGCACCTCTAACAGTTTTGGAAACTCAAGGACTATGCAATAATTATTTCTGAATAAATAAATAATTATCAGATGAAAATTGGCACTAGAGTAGAAGTGCTGGATATAAAAATATGAAACAGATGCAAGAGACATCAAGAAGGATAACTAGACTGGCTGACTAGATATGGAAGGAACAAGAAGAGACCAAGGAGTTGAAGTGGATTCCAAGTGGAACTGTGGGAAGAATGAGGACAGAAGGACTGCAGCTGGCTTTAGAACTATTAAGTCAAACCACTATCAAACAGTTGGATGTTCAGGACAAACTCAGGTGATAAAGACTGGTGGTATAGATCAAAACTTATCCCTGTTCAGGAAAACTAGTTGAAACTACGACAATAAATGAGTTGTTAGAAAAATCAACATGGGTGTAGGTTGGACAATCTGGATTACATCCATATATTGGAGCAGGAAAAAGAGATAAATCCAATGAGGGGGCAGGAACAGCATGGAAGGCAGGAAGCAATTCAGCACAATAAAGTTCTTATTTAATCATCCAGCTGTGTGAATTTCTGGACAGATAAAAGGAAGGATCTCCTTCTGTCCCCTCAGCCTATTCATATGAGAAATGAGAACTAAGATTATGACGGAGGCAGTCAGGAGGTTTTTTTTTTTTTTTGAGTCGGAGTCTCACTCTGCTACCCAGACTGGAGTGCAGTGGCCGCTCCCGGGCACCGCAGCCTCAACCTGCTGGGCTCTGGCGATCCTTCCACCTCAGCCTTCCAAGTAGCTGGAACTACAGGCGTGCGCTACCACACCCAGCTAATTTTTTGATTTATTGTAGAGATGAGGTCTCACCAAGTTACCCAGGCGAGTCTCGAACCCGCGGGCTCAGGCAATCCACTCACCTCAGCCTCCCAAGGTGCGGGATAACAGGCTGAGCCACCAAGCCCAGCTAGTCAGGAGGCTTTTTAACAAAAGGAGATTACTAGTGTCAAATACTACAGAAAAGTTAAGGAGAAAGCTTGAAAAAAAAGTGTGATCAGTGTTCTCCCAAGAAACAGAACCAATAAGAGACAAATAGATGATAGGTAGGTAGGTAGGTAGGTAGGTAGGTAGATAGATAGATAGATAGATAGATAGATAGATAGATAGATAGATAGATAGATATTGGTCTATATATCCTGTTATATTTCTGTATATATAAAGAGATTCTTTATAAGGTATATGTTTATGCCATCCTGGAGGCTGAAAAAACCCACTTCTTGGCCATCTGCAAACAGGAGACCTGGGAGAGCCAGGAATATCGCTATAGCTCAAACGCCTGAGAGCCGAGGCGCCAATGGTATAGAGTCCAGTCCAAGTTTGAAGACCCAAGAGCTGGAGATCCAAAGGCCAGCTGGCAATTTTGATGGCCCATGTGAAAAATGTGGTTTATTCCTTACTACCATAATCATAACCAAGAAACTCTTCCTGACAAAAATTAATACATATCATCAGAGAAAATTAGGCAAATGTATTCAGGATCCAGATATACATTTTGAGACTTCATATTACAGATTATCTCAGATTTGTTGTATTTCTTTTGTATGGAAACAGATACAGTTCTGAAGCCCTAAAAGTCATGAGGAACTTTGATTCTCTAGTGTTGATGGGAATTTATGAGCAAAAAAAGTTAAATGACCTTCTACATGCAAGCTCAAATATAGTTATGAGATGCTTGTTTTTTTTTTTCCTTTTTTCAAGTTAAATTGCATGAGCTATCATGTTGTCTGGTGCATTCTCATTTTAAAATATAGTTTTTAGCCATTATACGTTTTTGGGCTGTTTTTCACTTCTGAATCTAAAGAAGGGGATTATTATTTCACTCTCAGTTCAGTGGGAAATAATCAGCCTCTTCAAAATCACTGACCAACCCCGCAAGAAGGAGCAGGTAATCTGAAAGCCACTGAGTTTGACATTTGAACTTGTATGTTAATAGGTATATGCCAAAATGTATACCTCATTTCTTAAAATGCAACAGCTGCAGGACTGTTTGAATTTTTCCACAGACCTACTAATGTGAGATGTCAATTATCCCTCAAAAACCTACTTCACATGCACATATTTGCCAACAGAAGTTTTTCGACAGAACTTGCATGCGTTTGTGTCACTCTTTAAGCCAGGCAGGAAATTATTTTAGTAGTTAACATTTAGTAAGGGGGAGGGGTGCGGGCACATGGTTTATCTCCTAATTTCACCAAGACAAATACCAAGGATAAAATATTTGACAATGAAACTTCTTCAGAAACATTCCTCTGCACTTTTATCTCTGCATCTCTCAGGGACTGGTGACTTCCCTACTAGCTGCAGTTCCCCCCACATCTTATGAGCTGCATTTCCAGGCTGGCCTTCCATGGCCCCCACCTTCCTATGAAGTGAGAACCCCTGCCTGAGCATCCTGGCCCCCTTGTAGCTCTTGTGATCTCTCATTTCACACATCTTCTCTAACTCTCTGGAAGCTCCAGAACAGTGCCCGCTGCATGGCAAATATCTGTTGAAGGTCTAAACCACCTCACTAAAAGCAAGGCTTTTAGTGAGGTGTAGATTCAAAGGTATATGCCCCACAGATGAGTCAGGAGGGACAGGGAGGTGCAACCTTCAGGCACACTGCTAACTGATGATCTCAAGGGGTTGTGGAGAGCCACAGGAGACACTTGAGTCAGGAGGTAACTTGATTAGAGATGCACTTGCCTCAGAAAATAACTGACCTAGCCAAGTGTGAATTTGCTCAGAGTATGACGCAACACTTCCTCTAGAGAGAGAGCTGTCTGAGGCTTTTCCATCCACATGGTACATGTGATGGGGTGACCTGACCAGCTTCAGAATCCACCAGCACATGCTCCCTCAGCACATGGGCATGTGTTGGGGTTAGTCTAGATAGTTTCAGACCTCTTTTATCACAATAGTGATGTTTTATTCTAAAGTTGTTCGCGAAACCAACCAACATATCAGCTATGGTTTCACCACAGTGATAGAGAGTACCCTCTCCACAGAACATAAATTTAAAAGTTAGTCTACTTGTATACCTAATCCTGAATTGTACCCCATGTTTTAAAAATAAATAAATAGTGATTCTACTTAATGAAGCTATGGTTCTGGTGGTCAGGGATCTCCGATCTGACAAAATTTGCAATGTGGCATGCAGTGAAGTAGTGAGAGTGGAGACCTTGGGCAGAGCTAACTGACTCTTGTATTCTAATACAGTGATCTCCATCATTTTTGGCATCAGGGACCGGTTTCGTGGAAGACGGTTTTCCACAGATGGGGAGCAGGGGGAATGGTTTCAGGATGATTCAAGTGCAGAACAGTTATTGTGCACCTCATTTCTATTATTATTATATTGTAATGTGTAATGAAATAATTATACAACTCACCATTTTTAAAAAACAGGTACAGATGGAAATGGTAAATAAAATAATGGGCAGGCCACACACAGACTAAAATAAGTATTGGATTCTGACTTAAAGCCTGCCACCCGATGCAGCTGTACAATTGAAATACATCAACTCACTTGCCACTCACTGATAGGGTTTTCATGAGTCTGCAAGCAGTTGACTTATTATGTTCTTTGTGCAGTCAAACCTTACTGCTAATGTCAATCTGTATTTTCAGTTGCTCCCCAGTGCTAGCGTCACCACCTCAGCTCCACCTCAGTTCATCAGGCATCTGATTCTCATAAGGAGAGCACAACCTAGGTCCTTGCATGCATGGTTCACAATAGGGTTCACGCTCCCGTGAGAATCTAATGCTGCCACTGATCTGACAGAAAACGAAGCTCAGGCAGTAATGTAAGCAATAGAGAGCAGCTGTAAATACAGATGAAGCTTCACTTGCTCACCTGCCGCTCAACTCCTGTTATACAGCCCAATTCCTAACAGGCCACAGAACCAGTACCAGTCCATGGCCCAAGGGTTGGTGACCCCTGCTCTAATAGATATCTGTTGACTAAAGATTCACTTCTGGATATCAAAGCAAAAAATCAGGCTGAAAGTGGGCAATTCTCAGATTAAACATGTGATTTGCTTTTTGAGATAAAATGCACACACCAGAAAACTAACCATTTTAATGTGGATAATTCAGTGGCATTTAGTACACTCACACTGTTGTGCAACTGTCACCTCTATCTAGTTCCAAAACATTTTCATCACCCCTCTCCAAGGATACCTTGTACCCATCAAACAGTCCCTTCCCATTCCCTCTGCTCCATCCCATCCCAGCCCCTGGCAACCACTAATTTGCTTTCCATCCCTGTAGACTTGTCTTTCATGTAAAAGGGATCATACATTATAAGCACTTTGTGTCTGGTTTCTCTCAGCATAACATTTTCAAGGTTCATCTATGTTGTAGGGCGTATCAGTGCTTCACTCCTTTCTGTGGATGAATTAAATATTTTGTTATGTGGATGTATACCACATTTTGTTTCTCCATTCACCCATTGATTGAATATGTAATTTTTCTATTCTTGTTTCATCCAACAAATGTTTATTAAATGCCTATCACACACAGGGAACGAGCCAGGCCCCCAGGCCACCTTTGCCAGGGCTCGGGCCCTCTTTATGATCAATGCCCACTCTGATGGGGAAAGGATGCTAATCATAGGAAGTGACAGTCATGAGTTACAGGCAGGTACAGCAGGAGAGCAAACCTGGCCAGTTGAGTTGGAGCAGCCATAGAGAGGCTTCTAGGAGGGAAGGAGGCCTGCTCAGAGTCCAAAATCATCAGAAAGCACAGGAAAAGGGCAGCTTTCCAGGCAGAGGGGACTGCAGAGAAAAGAGCAGAAAGCAAGAGTATGTCGGGCCCCAGGAGGGCAGACCCAGAGAGGCCAGGCAGGACAGCCTTCTTGGTCTTACTGTGGTAATGTCTGAGGCAGGAGGTAGCAAGTGTGAAGGCTGCAGAGGCAGGTGGGGCATGCCTGGGAGGGCTGCATGTGGACTTCTGAGGGGCTGAACTTTGTCTCTAAGGAACTCCAAGATAGATGCCTCTGAGGTGCTTCAAAGGAAGGAAGTCAGGAGGCCAGATCCCAGAGAGCCCCCTCTGGAAGGAGAGAGAAGAGTTGTCTTGCGTTAGAGAACCTAGGAGCAAGGCACCAGAGCAGTGTGCCTGGGGTGGAAGGGTTTAGGTTCCAGGAAAGGACCAAAACAGGTGGGTTTGGTGATTGCTTGGCCTTGGGGAGTGCGGGAGAAGGATCCGAGGCACAGACACTACACAACCAACAGGGCATGTGGCCACACAGAGTTCAGCTGCCAAAACCCAAAGCCCGCCCTGGAGCCCAAAAAGGAAGGACATGTCTGGTGCCAGAGTCATAGGGTGCCCCAGAATGAACCAAGTGGAGAGATGCTCACATTTTCTTACTGTCCGCTCTTTCTTTAAGCTGCATGAAGTGTACTTAGAGTGCTTTGGAAGCTCGTGGACATAATGTAGACCAGCATCACTCCTTTTGCTCTTTCTGAGGGTAGCAATAGCCATGATATTAGTCATCAGAAGCCCTGTATACAATATTGCACAGCAACATCAGATGAGGGTTTACAAGGTCTAGCTGTCACTGTTGGGTGAGAGTGGACCCTGGTGGGGGAGACAGAAGAGGTGCTGTGCTAGGGCTCAGAGCAGAGCTATGACTGGTACAGATGGCATGTGGCCCTGCAGTGTCCCACCCTGAGTTTCCCATTGCAGAGTCAGCAGCAGGAGTCAAGGACAACGTGGTCAGGCTCTCTCTACAGGATAGAGAAGCTAGTTAGATCTCAGCTCCCGGAAGGAAGCAGGGCTCCCAGCACTGGGATGGGGCTCAGAGATGGCTTCTAGGCTCAAGCAGGTAAGTGAGAGGAAGGAACTGCTCTGGTGATTGCAGAAGCCTACAACTGGCAAGTGGCACAGTCAAGCAAGGTCAGAGAGTGACTCCAAAGCCCAGTTATGGGATGTGGAGAAGGAAAACAAGTAGGACTCAAACTGGGAACTCAGCCTTCAGAGCAAGGAAGGAGTCAGAACATTAGAAGACAGGACCAAACTTTAGGCAAGGGGTACCACAGAGGAGGCCACTGAGAAGGGAAAGCCAGCATCAGCAGAGAATGCACAGTGATCCTGGGTCATTCATCCCAGTTGGACATAACAATCCCTACCCAGACAGGCCAGGAGGGGATGTAACCAGGTGGATGAGGGCTGGGCCTGCGTGACATAAACCACAGTCATGGTCATCACAACGTATGCACTTCTTACTGGCTAGTCTTGACAGATTAACAGTGCCTGTAATTAACAAAAATATTATTCTTCTTTGAACAGGAAGAAGATGAGGAGTGGAAAATGTCACCAAGTGTTTTCCTTCATGCAATGGAGGAAGAAAATAACATATACAAAGGTCAGTTTAGGAGACTACAAGTGGTGCCTCAGTTGCTCATGAGAAGCTGTATATGTGAGCATGCATGAGAAGTTGATTGGCAAAAGAGCAAGACACATGTAGGATGAGAACACAATCAAAACCTCCATCCTGTTTTTGAACCCCTAAAACTTCAGCTGAATGTTCTCATGCTTAGTGACAGGAAAGATATTTCCTAGATTGTTTAAATTAAGAAAATTGATACCGTATGTCCAGTAAAATGTCTTAATCCTATTAGACCAAGACATATGCCTGAATCCTATCACATAATTTTTTTGTCAGTTGTTCAGTATAATTAGCATAGCTATAATCTGGCTGGATCCACAAGTGGATGGATTGGTGTTGCAGATATTTCCATGTTAATTTCCTAGAACTATGATTTAATTCCTTTGGTTCTACTCCACCCTCAGGATAAATCCCAGCACAGAATGACCTGCCAAGACAACCCTGGTCATTAGTGCTATTGTGGAAATTCCTGAAAAACACAGTAAGGACATGAGGTAGAGTATCTCCAAATGTCAATCTTCAGGTGCCTCTTTCCCAGTCCTGATCTTATCTAGTCAGCCCCAGCACTACTCTGGACTTAATATGTTTATTTGTGTGAAATTGACTCCTGGTTTTCACCCCAATAAGCTGAGTCTCATTTTAATCAACCATATCAGTGTAGTTATAGGTTTGATATGCTGGTTGTGTAAGATAAAGGTGTCTATGTACCACCGAAAATTCTCTCACATACCACTGGTGGTGATGCTAAACTAAGAGGGGAGCCCAGAGGAAATGATGACATTGGCAGGATTTGCTTTCATAGGAGAGAAAGAGGCCAGAGGAGTAAAATTATCAAGTGCCCAAGACATGCAAGGCTTGGTGTTTCCCACGCCGATCTCATTTCATCTTAATCACAACCAGGAGAGGTAAACACTGTTCTGGTCCTATCAGCAGATACCAATAGAAGGCTGCTGTCACCCAAGTCTGAGAATTCATCAACTCTTTACACCATGGCACAGAGCAGTTACTATCAAAAACATTCATTTGTATATTTCTTCAACAAACATTGAGTGTCTCCTGCGTGTCATGTACAATTCTAGTCTAGAGATACAATGATGACAACTGTCACCAACAAGATTATGACCTGTTGGGTGTACAGCAGCGGATAGGGGTGGGGATGGTGGCATAAACTGGGTAGTTTCTGTAAACTGGGATGACAGCAACAACATTCAGTGAGTCCAGCTGGGAGTGACAGTAATCCACACCATGGGATCACGAGCCTGGCTGGGGGTACCACTGAAATCAGTTGTGTGCTGCAACAATACTGCCATTTAAAGCTGCATTTGCACATTATCTTTTGGTCTTTGCACAACTCTCACTTGTTTTGTATTGTATGTATCTATCATTTCCTACACCTTCTAACACATCAGATAACTTACCAGTTCATTTTTTTCTGAAGACCTTCCTCTTGGACCCCTCTCAATCATCTGTGACCTTTGGGCCTTCTTTGGCCTTTGCTGACTTCTTGACACTCCCTCATTTTGGTGGAGTCAGTCCTCCAGGATGTCCTGAGAAGGGCTACTAGAGGGAATCTTTAGCTACCAAGTACATCTGAATGCTGTCCTACACTCACACCTGGACGACAGTTTCCTGGGTTCGAGAAGGCATGGCTCCCTCCTCTTCTGATATAACGATGTAAAGAAAATGAGGGCACAAGAAGAAAGATGGGAGGCAGCCAAAGCCTCCCTACCATGGCAGGAAGTCAGGAGCTCATGTCTGAAATATATTAATCAAGAAGTAGCATAAGAGCATATTATATAAACATTAGGAAACCATGAAATCCAGCTGAAGGAACTCCCCTGAGGCTGGATTGTTTCACACACCCTAATGGGGGTTGCACTTCCTCTAACACGCCAAGCACACACCACCTCTTGCCCTCCTACTTTCTGTCCTCCTGTTCTAGTGCATGTCCCTTCAGACCTTGGTGCCAGTGAGGCCTTCCCTGTGGCCCATGTGAACGGAAGGCCCCTTGCCCTGCACCCACCTCCTGTCCTGCTGTACTTAACATTTGCATGTGAGCATGTGCTAACTGCCTGGTCCCCAAGGGCAGAGCCTTCCAGCCTTGACCTGCTCAGAGAGCAATGCCTGACCTGTAATTAGGTTCAATTAAGTCAAAATTTATGAATGAATGTATATAGGAAAGAATCCCATTGGGCAATGTAACTGGAAGACAGACAGGGTGGAACAGGTTTTTTTGATTATAATCCTTTTAATGCTCTGACTTTGTTTAAAACAATATGAATGCTTTTTTTTTTTTTTTGATAAAAACAAAAATTAATTTGGGGAAAATTTAATGTTCCCATGGGGAGCCCAATCTTGAATCCTGCTGACCCACCCAAAAAGTCTCTTAAAGCTATCCATGGCTTTCATGTAATATCTGTTTCCGTTAAGACTGAAAAGCCAAGCAGTGTCCCTCTGGAGAAGCGAGCCTGAAGTGTCATTTTCCTAGCTGGATGTTGTGGTCTTGGAAGTGTTACCCGCCAGGTCTTTGGTAACTTAGAGAAATTAAATGTCTTCGTCTTAGAAGTCTTTTCTCAAAAATCAAAGGTTTTCCTTTTCAAATAAAACATTAGCATTTTAATCACTAAGATTAACCCCCCTTCTGCCCGCCCCTCTTGCATAACCCCCCCCCCACGTGTGAAACTGCCTTGGCCTTGCTTTTCACATTCTTAGGATAAAAGCTCTTTCTCCGCTCTAGGAGAGAGTGGGGCAGTTGTTGCCCTTTGAGGGCCATGAATAGCTTCCTGCATTTATAAATGTCCATGAAATTCTTGAAGGGATTGAAAAGTGCCCTGCGCAGAAGTGTCATGAGAAAAGCAAAGTTTCAGTGGAAAACTCGATCCATTGAAACGATCTAGAGAGGACATCGGCAAAAGCTGCTCGGCGGTGCTTTATTTTAAAATATAGTGGCCACTTCAGAATGAGAATGCAGAAACGTACAACTGTTCCTACATAAATAACCCTGTCATGGTTTCTTTTTGTTAAATATTCTGCATTCTTATTAAATGTGTTGTTTCCCAATTTTAGTAAATCTGTCTAGTGAAGAGGAAAAGTAGTTTTCTGTAAATGACAAAGTTATTTTGCTTAAAATGCCTTCATGTAACAGGTAAGTGTTGCTGTTGAAGAAGATTTAGTAACCCTACAAAGGGAAAATCTTTGAAAAGAGTTCTTATTAGTAAATAGCACATTATAACACATTTAAATCTGTTCTAGTGTCTTCAAGGAGAAAAGCTTACAATTTTAGACACAAAAAAGTACTTGTTCCTTTTCATACATTTTATGCCTACATGTTATTCCTACATTTCAAGGTTTTTCACAGTTGAAGCTTATATGTGTTTCAGAAAATGTACTTTAAAAAGAGCAATTAGTCAGGTGCAGTGGCTCACATCTGTAATCCCAGTACTTTGGGAGGCAGAGGTGAGAGGATTACCTGAGTCCAGGGGTTCAAGACCAGCCTGAGCAGTTTGGTGAGACCTTGTCTCTACAATTAATCCAAAAATTAGCCAGGTGTGGTGACACGCACCTGTAGTTCCAGCTACTTGGAAGATTTGAGGCGGAAGTATCGTCTGAGCCCAGCAGGTCAAGGCTGCAGTGGCTGTGAGCGTGCCACTGCACTCCAGCCTAGGCGACAGAGTGAGATTCCAACTCAAAAAAGAAAAGAGCTATTAGCTTCAAATAAGGAAGTCATAAGCTCGCTGGGCCTTTGGTGTATGAACTTTCACATATTATTGACTTGAAATATGCTTTACATCAACGGGATGCTATAGACAATGTATACAGTGCGTGTTTCCTGTGCCCTGGCTCCCAGGCCAGCACCCCACAGGAAGGGGTCTGTGATGAAAGAAATTCAGCCAGGTCTTCCAGCCATCTCCCATATACCTGCTGTAGCCCGTCAGCCTTTTTTGGTTCTTCTTCCCTTCTGTCTTCAGATGCTGGGCTGGTCATCTGCCCCGTGTGCGTGATGATACCCACTGAACTTCAACCTCACCTCTGCGGTCACCTTCAGACCCACTTCCAGAAAGCACAGTTCATCTCTTCTCCCCACCCCAGCACCCTAGTTGCCAGAGCCACCTCTCATGAGGCCACCCTGCCTGAAGAATACATAAGTGCATTCATTGGTACTACACAAATGTACCATCTTTGTGATTTCGTTTTCGTCTGTTTATAAGTCCACATTAGCCATCCTAAAAGACATATGGGTCCTTCTGGCACCATTTCCAGAAACCTGCCCACCCAACCATAACCATAGCCTGATCTTTCATATCTCTGTGGCAGAGACCATGGTCAGCCAATGGCCCACATAACCCTGCCCAGACCCCAGTTTTCTTGGTTCCCTGGTGGGAGATAGGTGAGCCACACAAGAGCCCTCACCAGATCCTGCTGGAATCCAGACAAGCTCTGCCTCAGCTGACACTGCTGAGCCAAGCACCCCATAGTCTGTCCAGGTAGTGAGAGAGGCCGGTCTCAACTGTGTATGGCTGAACAACTATTCTGTCCAGGGAGTACCAGGCCAGCCACTGGTGTCAGCATTGCAGCTTGTGGACCCTAGTCATACTTTCTGAAAACTGGAGCTGCGTTTCCATGTCCTGCCTTCCTTCAGGTGTCCTATCCCACAGGTCCTGACTCTGACCACTCTAAGACAGCACAGGCACTTGCCCCGAGGTCCATCACTTTCTTTCTGCTGACATGTGTCTGCTTTGGGGCACAACTGTTTTCTAGAGCATGATCCCCTACCCCAGGAGGTAGAGATTATCGATATGGTAAGATAAGACCACATGGGATTGCTGTCTGGGGATGACAGCAACTATTTGGGGCTAGACTGGGAACTTTACATATTTTATTCCATTTTACCCTCACCCATCAATATGAGGTAGGGTGTATTTTTATTTCTTAGAAAGGGAAACAAGTTCAGCAAGGCTGTCACGTGCTAAGTTGAC